CAAGCCACTGTTAAATCACCTCTCGATCACCTCTAACCCGAGACGTACGTATTGCTGGAATGGCGTTGGTAGCATGATGGGATGTTCACTAACTAGTCCATGCCAGTCTGTTGGTCACACGGACAACTATCATAATAAGGTGTTTCGTCAAGTTGATTTTTAGAGTAATTAACCTTCGCAGCTGACTTTGCTGTCCACTTCCATCAGCACGTAGCTATGGGAAGCTAAACATGGTGTTATTTTGGCTTGGGAATGATTAAGCATTCATATTTTGCTCTAGTTGTAAAAGTAGAGTCCACTTACGGTGAGCAGCCACAAAGCACCCTTCTCACCCCAACAGACCCCAAGAAGTGATGGGTTCAGTTCCCTCTCACGGAGCCAATGTTAAGTGGTTGCTGGCATTCAAAATGTGGGCAGTTGCATCATGCACGACAAAGTTGGCACCCTTACTAAGTCGGCACGAGAAGTACAACGAACTATTGCTATGCAGTACTACCTGCCTTCTTCAACTACTGCATCTTTAGCACTTTAGTCTACGATGAACAAACTTTGGGTTTTCGCCAGCTTTGAATGTTAGAAGCGTTGCCACTAATTCGATTGGTGCAACAGAAGCATTTTGAAACATGCTGAGTTGTAAAGAAAGCCGAATTCAATTAGCATGATCCACTCATACAAGACCTCGTTCATCTCAAAATTAACTGAATAGGGTTGTGAGGTCTTGCAAAATAAAGTTAACCGAAGTGGGGAGGCATTCGTTGGTTATAGTGCACCCGTCATCTTTCATTGAAGTTCTCCTGTTCACCTGAATTGTTGCCTAAACCGCATGTATTATGCTGTACGGATGAGCTGCAACGGACTACCTCCCCATCCCTTTTGAAGACTGATTGCGCGAGATACAGAAATAGCCGATCTGTGAACTTTTTTGCTTCATATGCGTTTCGCCTCAGAGTACGGAGGAATTTCATCGATGTCAAACTATCCCACTCAGCAAAATTCTAAACTCTGTCAATCTTTTTTGTAATTAAAGTGGTGGCATGTGCTTAGCACTAAGGAGGATAGCTTTGGAACAGCGTAGACTGCATTACTTCCTTAATCCACTTCAATTAAGCTGCGAAATAGGTGAAGCTGAATGAGTTATGCAATTTCTTCCCTACCATAACAGAATGGGAAGAAATCCCTTGAGGTTTGTGCCCACCTCGTATTTCAACCTGTGTTACTATTAGATTTACCTACAGAGGCATGCAGCTATCCATTCTGTGGGTGGGCGATGCTTCATTCACAGCAGTCCATCCTTTACCGTTTTCCCTCTCAGCAATTGGGGTCCACACGATTTCTGCAATGATTTGCAGCAGCCAATTAGCCTAAAGTTCTTTTTGCCGATCAAACTCACTTGAGGGAATACTTACTACGAAACTCACTTATAGTCTACTTACGTTCCCACCCTTTCCCCACCTACCACCGGTGGTGATTAATAAAGGGGGAATATGTGAACTGCCGTGCACTAAATTACAGTGACTGTACCTGTCTAAGGACCATCATCAGTCGTGCAGTGAAAGGTGATCGCGCACTTCTACTATGCAGTGATTCCAATTTCCCAATGCTTTCTGGTTGCCCGACGCCAAGGAAAAACAGTGCTCCTTGGCAGTTGACGGCGTAATCTCAATTTCAGTGCAACTCAGGTGCTCTAAGGGTGAAAACTTTCACAAGGCCAAGCGAGCATCAAAAGCACGTTCTAATGATCAGCAGCTTATTTTAAGTAAAGCATTGACAAGCTTCCATTCTGTTTTAGTTCAATTTACCCCAATTTTAATCTCTGTGTGGTTCTGATCACCATCACTAACCCCTCTTCATGCACCTTCGTCCATGCATGACTGACGCGTTTGCAGTTACTTGACGAAATTTTTCCACTCCCACCAAACAGAACTTGCAAAAGTTTTTTTCCCATGCCACTCCATCATGCAAGGTGAAAAAAACGGAAAGAATGTAAGTTCCTTGAAAAAGCAGTAAACAGACGCACGTAGGACTGTGTGGGGAAGTTAGTTTCAACCAGGGCAAAGTTGGTGTTGGTTGTGACAAAGTCGCATCCACACTTACCACCAGAGATAGGTGCCCAAATTTATTAACTCAAAAATACTCCTGTACAGAAAATGTTCACACAAACCAAAGCGATATATAACCCACTTTAGTAATACAAATAACATA